ACACGTAGGGTTGTATTTAACTTGAATTTAGAAATATGCTGCAGTTTATATTCCCATGTGTTAATTACCTTTTGTGGAACGTAGAAATTTGACAACCTGTAATTTCAGTGTGGACCAGCGAAATGTTATTTTCACAGAACGCATTGCCTGGAGTAAATCTGCCCACTCGACTGGTCTGAGATCCATAACAATTATCAGGGCCAGTGTGGCCACTCTGCCGAGTCAGGATTATACCGCTCTGACACCCACATCTCACCTTCTAGCTGAAATACCTTCATGTGTCGGGCTGTAGCTGCAGGTTAACAGCCAATCTGCCGGCACTGGATGTGGATTTAATAACCCGTTGGGGGACAGAAAATGGAATTACCCAATTTGGAGCGAACTCCGAACACTGAATGCAGCAGATGGATTTGACATAAAACATAGTGATTTGAGTAATGTAGTCTTACCTGAGGTTAACTAATCCTACCCTTGCGTGGAACTGGTATAAACCTCCCTTAAATCTGACACATGAAGCTTTTAAATGTCTGAATGCTTGTGCATTCTGCCTTGTGACGGCCTGTCAGCGATAGTGTTGATGCGGCATGTTCTCCTTCCTCCTCGGCTTCTTCAGGAGAAATATTCCAGGAGCTCTGCTCCAAGAAGCACGGCCGAGCCAGAACAGTTACTCTGATTTAGTCTTTCTACATCCTTCTTCTGATCTCTTAAGGGTTATTCCGAGTAGGACACATTGCTCCACGTTGTGTGGCTGAAATGTAGAGAGGTGCCGCTATAAAGAAAACAATGATGCAAGATTGATAATGAGCGGGTAACTTCCAACAGGCAGTGAATTCCCCCACGGAACCCATTTCCCACATCGTCTACGTTGACTTATTTGAATTTGACCACGACGCTAAACTACTTTTATTACGGTGCACGTTTATCACATAGCAAAGCGCCCGTGCTAGAAGGCCGTTTTGCTTTCGAGAAGCCAGACATTTTATTCATTGCCTGATAGTCATGTATCGAAAGTCTCAGTAGCAAAGCGTCGCGTTGCCTCCATCGCCGAGCAATGTGTGTCGTGGCTGCTGCGTCTCAGGTCACCAAATGAAGCATTACCCGACGGGGGCCTACGAGACTGTGTGAGCATTTTGTTCACAGGTTGGCTTGCCTAAGTTGTGTCATCAGGGGATTCCCGCCCCGGAATGATTCTAACAGCGTTAGACACCGTCTGGGTTCTGAATGGTCCAATGGTGCATCGTGTTTCTGCCGACACACATCTGGGAGAGCAGCAATCACAGGGGACCTGCCCGGCGTGTGTTCTCATGCTGAATGTTCCCGACTCATATTTTAGCCCAGTCGCAACTGCGCGTGTGTGTGTGTGTTACGAAATGATAATAATGTGTTTCTTCCGCTGTGTTTTGACACAGCGAGAGAAAGAATCCAGGAGACGACTGGATGCTGTGCTGAGTCGGTGTGACAGTCAGATCCCCGACTGTCTGTGAGGGCTGAGCGGGGCTGAGATCACCTGACGCACGCACACATTCAATACACATCATGCACACGTCCAACCATGGAAAAGAAAAAGGAAAACTCAACTGCAACTTTCTGCACCAATCTTTATAACTTCTAAAACTCCCAATGCAACATAACAGGGAGGCCTTTTTTGATAACATGAATAATGATGTGCTATAATCTGTCAAACTCAGTGTCAGTTCACTACATTTCGGCTGCATTGCTAAGCATCTTGACTGACTTAGACGCCAATGTCAGAGACCTCATCTTCTCTGCAAATCACCATCTCATCTAATGCTAATAGCTGTCGGTTTCTGTCTGGGATGTGCATCATGTTAGCTTGCAAGAGGCAATAGATATCTGTCAAGGGAAAAAAAGAAGAGTGTCATATACAAATACTTGGAAGGGTAAATTCACTAGCAAGTTGCATTATAATATTACACTGGACATGAACATATACAAACCATCATGGTTTTGTGAGAGTCAGTTTTCTCCCCACATGCTGCACAGGTATACTCACCTGTGGTTAAACACCATGGCAGTTAGAGCTTGAATGCACATTACCAGCAACAGGAAAGTGAAGCATTTAATATGATTTCATCTAAACTGGTGCTTCTCCTTCAGCTTCAGGGGCCAACACGCATAAAACATTATTCTTTGAAAGAAGTTTTGTCTAGAACTCTAAACATGCACAACTTGCAGGCATCAATAACAGATCCGAAAGAAACGGAAGCACTCATAACATTTTCTCAAGCCTCCAATTCCTTATCTTGAGCCTTCAGTTTCGAGCGCATTCCGTGACTCACTGAGGTTTTTGGTCATTACTCGTACCCCTACATCAGATCTCCGTGTAAACAGCCAGCGAGGACTGAAAACAACGACTTTCACCGTTTTTTTTACAAAATTCAAATTGGCATCGGTTGAAATGACAACGGCGTTTCCCAAATCCCTTATGCATCCACAGCATGTGCTTCCTGTGTGTGTGTCTCAGACTGTCGCAGTGAGTGTGTGTGGGAGGGGGGAAGCAAGTTCTTTCCATGGCTCATCACAGCCTTTAGCTCAGAGTGCAGCTAAATGGGTGGCTGTATATCCGCTACCCCAATTAAGGGTGCTAATGTGTGACAGTGTGTATGTTGAGAGTGTGAATGTGTTTGCGTGCTAACACAGCAGTGAGGGCCCTGAGCGCGTTTCTCTCTCTCTCTCTCTCTCTCACACACACACATGCATTCATCAGTCATCATCACAAAAGAAAACATTAGGAGGAAGCTTTTTTGGCATTTAAGGATATTGTAAAAAAAAAGAGTCTGAGGAAAGGAGCAGCAATAGTTAGATGAAGGATTTAATCCCAATGGCTTGCTGACGGAGTTAGAAATGGGAGAGAATTGTACAGCGGGCTTTGAACTGCGGATTTATCCGCTGTGACCGCCTTATGGCCACAGGGAAAGTAATACCAACGTGAAAGTACCTTAAACTTGTTGTAAAAACTAAAAAGATTGTATTTATATATATATGTATATTGTAGTCGGTGAGAAAACATGATGCGTTTCCTCAGTTACCAAATGGCGTTTATGGTCTGACGTGCTGGTGTTGCTGGTTCGTTTCAGGTTGCAGGTTCGTTTCACAACCTTTTCTCATCGTGTTTGCTCAGTGCATGAAATGTGACCTTTTTGGTCGAAATAAAAAGTCTCGTTCTTAGTTTAGTTTAACCTCTAGTGTCACTTACGGTTCCCGAAAGTCAAATCAGCAAGCTGCAGTCCAACAACGTCTTCCTGCATACAGTCTGTGGCCTGAAGATGTTGGAGGCTGTCCGGGCTGCACCGACTAAGCACAAAGAAGCCGTGATTACAGAACACACAGCGGGAGCGCTGACTCGTTCTCTACTCAGACCGTATTCAACTCAACCGTGCCCCTATATTTATGTTCCAAATGTCGTATAGAAAACTTTTAACCTGCAACCCAATTTGACAGCGATGCCATTTTTTGACTTTCTTCACTACAGACACACACAATTAACACGAAACATGTCTGTTTAATTTAAGTCCACCATGAAAGGGACAGGACCTTCTTAAAGAAGCTTTGTCATGGGAAGTAAAACACAGCGGATTGAGAATACACAGGAAGCCGCTGTTGCCGTATTAAAGCTTTAATGTTCTGGAATAATAAATGACCTTTAAATAACAGATAGTTATTTGGCAGAGAAAGAAAGACTTAATGTGTTGGTGTGTCGCTGTGTGTGCTGGGGGACCTTTTCAGTGTTATCGATTTCTCCACCTGATTTCAACATCTCGTCAGAGGATTTCGCTCTGGAGCTGTGAGAGATAACCGGCTACAAACTCACCAGTTCTCTTCTCTTAGCTGGTAATGAATAACCTGTAATACTCCCACCAGCAGTTAATCCCACTGTGGGATTAGGTGCAAGCCCACCCATTCACTCATGCACGCACACATAAGGAGAACCACACCTACGCAGGTAATGTTTGAAGGTATCAGCTTCAGTTTGTACCACAAACATGCAAATATCGCATTAGTCAAAACCAAACAATGAACACTCACGCATGATCACACAGCTTGAAATACTAATGAAATATGTAAAAAAACTAAAGTATAACAAACTTATATGCGGCAAAGGAGAGCCTTAAGCAACAATGCGGTATATTGTGTGTGTCTGTGTGTGTGTGTGTGTGGGGGGGCTTCTGTCTGCACAACGCTGTGCATATGTCCAGTGTTTGCTTGGCTCTTTGCCGCTTGCTGGCAGCCTCCTTTGGCAGCCAGTAAAAAGCAAGTGGACGACCAAGTCCGATGTCTTATCGTGCTTTCACTTAGGCTGTGGCTGCTGTTTCCGCGAGCTGGCTCGCGGCTGTGATGAGCCAAAAGAAATAAATAACACATGGAATTAGTGCATGACATTCTCTTTCTAAACCGAAACTCCACATCTGTTTTGCTTCAGCCCTGAAATCCTAATAATATGCAGCATTGTGTTCTCTGCAAAATCCGATTGCGTGTGCGTGTGTAAGTGTACCAACATCCACGGATGAAGCAAAGCCGTTCGTGAGCTAAGTGGCAAGAGATGGAAAACCATTTCCTCTCCCACAACACTGTGACGGGGCTAAATGAATCGTCAATGAATGTGCAATGACTATTGACACTGATTTACTCTCCGCTCTCGCGCCCCTCCGTGTGTGTTTCTCTGCGAGAGGTGATTGCTATCAGGATGCCTTTGCATTCCGTTATGCAGACAAGTGAGTTTTACGATAAGAGAGCTTCAGGCGGCGGGAGACGAATGGCCGTCTGGGTTAAAAAGCCCACCGGCATCAAACAGCTGTGAGTTGTGAGGCGGCGTGGTGGCGATGAGTGGCAGCTGAAGTTCTCACTTCATTGCTATTTATTTGCCGCAGCGCAACGTACCCCATGCTAATTGAATCAAAGCGGTCAGTTCTATCCGTAGTGCGTCAAACTGTTTCAACGATCACTTCATTCCCACTAATCCCCTTGTGGACTCCTTTCAGATCTCGGCTGGGCTGCCATGATGAGCGAGGAGTGTCCCGTGCCGCTGGGGAGCATTTCCTTGGCAGGGCCGGGGCAGAGCGAGGAGTACGGCCTGGGCCAAGCCGACGACATCATCGAGGAAGTGGGCCCCGGCGACGACGTCAGCATCGGCAGTGACCTCAGCACTCTGGTGCTGCCCTTCCCGGAGCTGGCGCCCGTGGTCTTCTTCTGCCTCAAGCAGACCACCTGCCCTCGCAACTGGTGCATCCGTATGGTCTCCAGCCCATATCCTTTGTTAGCCGGCCCACTGCAACCCTGGCAAAAACCTGTACTCACTTAACCTTCATCGTTCTCTAAACCTTAATTATTTACCTGCCGGCCTACCAGCTCCAGGTGCTTTTTTTTTTGCCGGTTCAAAAGATGAAGTTCATGCAATGCACCATGTGAATATGTTTAAAACACCGGCTCTGGCATCAGGTCACACCGTTCATTGATGCATGTTTTCATGGCCTCGTGCAGCACCGCGACTTTCATTCCCTTTTCTTTTGGAGCTGAAGTTGATCTTGTTTTCCGAGTCACTGTTTCTGTCCTCTGTGATGTTGTGTGGATCTGTTTTGTGTCCCTCGCTCACATATCGTGTGGCTTTGTCGCCACATTGTGCAGAAGACATCGCGGAGGCTTCTCAAAGTAAGTGTGTTTGGAATCCTTATCCAACTATAACTGCGGGGTTCACCATTGGGATGCTTGAGGGATCAAATTTGACATTTGTTTGTCTTCATGTGTGTGTGTGTGTGTGTGTGTATATGTGTGTGGTTTTAACATTTTCAGTTTTTCTGTTTGCAACGTTGAGATTGCTCATTGCTTTCACATCAAGGACAGACAAGACCTCGCTGGACTGGCTGCTTGTGTGTGTGTGTGTGTGTACATCTAAGTGCAATATGGATCCATCTCTATTAACTCCCACTAGTTGGAGTGCAGGTCTCCAAGGATTGCGATGGCAGTAACATTTCTGCTTTGATCGGGTGCGTTTTCATTGTGGTAACCCGAGTCATACTTGATAAATGAAACACTCCAAAGTCGTTTTGCTGTGTGTGTTAAAGAACAGCTGCTGTAAGGACTCAGGCGCCGTTCTGGTTTCTCTTCCACTCGATTAGTTTCTTGTCTCATCAGGTCTGCAAAAGAAAAACAAACTTGCACAGAATCTGCCATTCGTGCAGACTCTGCGGCCATCGAACACCCTTTCCAAACTAATATGTGTTAATACTTTACATTAACTATTGACAGAAAAAAAGACCTGTAAAGTAAGATTGGCGATAATACATTTGGCACATATACTGTAACAAGAAAGAAAATGAACCCCTTTATTCCGAAGGCTGGTACGAGCACATATAGTAGCCAGAAAATCTTAAATCAAGCTTGTGAAAGGCCTCGCAAGACCAGATCCCCCCCATACATTTACAACAAGCCTTTGCTTGTTGTAAATGTATGTATGTAATGTAAATTACATACATACATTTTTGTCTGTACATTACATGTAAATGTAATGTACAGACAAACAAACGGATGGCCGGAGACTCAGAAAGACAGCGGGAGAGTGAGACGGAACAGCTTTGGGCTTTGTGTTTGCATTTCAGACTCCGACATTGATTTCAGACGGATTCTACGCCGCCCGCTAATGGCTGCACGGGCTTTGCTGCTCTCAGTTGGCCCCCCGAGCCACAGGGAGAAGAAAAAAAAAAATCCCCCCACACACCCTGCGCACGCTCGAAAATCTTATTTCACGTTGAGCTGAGTTTCCATCGTGGCTCACTGGTTGTTGGACACCCATGGGGGAGTGTGTGAGACACATCTAAAGGGAGTGTGAGAAAAGTGAAATGTGTTTTTCCTGTGAAGGAAGGTTGTTATTGCCTTTGAATTGGGGGTTTATTCTCCTCTCCTGGAATCAGCTGGAGAACCGAGAAAATACAAACGCAAACACACTTGTGTCAACGGGATGGTTGGCGAGGCGCCACTTTCCCCGACTGTGACTGTGTTGGTTTGGAGCGTTTTGAAACTCGCTGAAGTGTGTGTGTGTGTGTGTGTGTGTGTGTGTGTGTGTGTGTGTGTGTGTGTGTGTGTGTGTGTGTGTGTGTGTGTGTGTGTGTGTGTGTGTGTGTGTGTGTGTGGAATGCAAGCATATTAACAGGCTCTGTGCCTCTACGTGTGTAGGATGTTTGTGTGTGTGTATCGATTGAACTACAGTCCCTGTATAGAAAGGTTATTCCTGAATATCGTCACCCTCCCCAAATGGGAGCACAAGACATTTTAGGGGGGGGGGGGGGGGGGCAATGAGGGGTCCCACCAGCCAGTCGGATATCTGTACATCTGATGTGTCATTTCGGCATCACGTGTTTTCTGGCTGTATCTCTATTAAGACGCTTCTTCTCAATCTAAACAGGCGCTGTGCTGTGTGCTCCGCTTCGCTTTATGCTGACGGGCTGTCAAGACATTCGGCGGCAGCTGTTCCTCCGCTCCGTTTCAACACTGAAAATAGTTTCCCTCGCCTGGATAGATGCATCATAATGGACTACTGCACCACATGTATTACTCACATAAACACTCCACCGTCACCATAATATATTTGATCCTCTTGAAGAATCTTTGTGTCTTCATTGAATAACTTCGTCTTTGTCCAATTCAGGACTGCGGCATGTTTTCGCAGCTTTTACCTGGTCAATCCTTTAAATGGACAGAATAGCTGGTGCTTTGGGGCTTAGCAGCCTCTCATCAATACTTTATATCTGCAGATCGAGAAGACGACACGTGACTCATACTCCACTGTATCTTCAACAATGCAGTATTGTTGGTGGCTTGGCCCGACTTGTTTGAAGGCATCTTCTGCAGAGTTTTATGCCATGTCCCCTTTGGCTTTGCAGAATATCACAGTTTTGTCACATAACACATACAAACGAAAGAGCAATAACCCTTTAAAATGACTGCCGTTGTACTTCGGTCCGTTGAACACCGAGTTTTGTTTGGGACACTTTTCCTCCACTGCTTGTTTCAGACTCCTGAACTGCAGTTTAATTGCATATTGCACACAATATTGAGGGACATTTTTCAGCTGTATTTTTTAAGTGAAAAGACCAGCGGCAATCGTTTGCAGTACACAGCATCTCAGAAAGGCAGTGCTGTTGTGGAGAACGTTGACTGATGCACGGCTCGGGGCACCTTCTTGTTTCTTTCTCCGTCCAAACATCGTTACAGTTGCATGATCTTCTCTCTCTCTAATCGTTACTTCCTCTCATATCTTTGTTCTCTCTCTGAGATCGGCTTCGTCCTTCCGCTCCCATGCGTTCCTCACCCCTCCTTCAACCACATCTCCCCTCTTGGCTTCTCCGTTCTCTGTCTTGTTCCACCGAGAGAGCTTGATGCCAATAACTATCCTTTTCTTCACATTATCCCATCCTCTGTCCTCCTTCCCCTGTGAGTGGCTCCTGAGGTGTTACGGCCTCTGTGGCCCGTGATCCTATCTGGCCGCCCTGACAGCTTGTTATCTCCATGGTGACGGATGGCTGAGGCGTTGCCGTGTCTTGCTCTTAACTACTACTGAGGATAGAGCTCACACCTGGGACACATCACACACACGCTCTCTCTTTCTGCCATTTTCTTGTTATTTTTTTCCCTTTCTTTCGCTTTCTGTCCTTCAGGTTTCCGTGGCTCTAGTTAGAAAAGTTGCCGCGGGGCGCCGCGCGTTTCGCCGCCACACTTTCTGTGAGCCGTGTCACTTGATGTCGAAGGGTCGCTCAACTTTTTTTCGTTTTTTTTTCACTTATTCATTATAAAATATCAAAGTGAGTCCTCTGTGTCGTCTGTTACGTCTGTTAGTTTGGTCTTGCTCACACGACGATGCTGCAGCATAAAAGAACCAAACCCGTTTCAGCTTGATGACACTTGTTGGATAATAATGCCTGCAATGATCCCCACTGTCTGGTCACTCTCACTCACGTCTTCCTCCCTGCATGCTTCTGTCCTCCCCCCTCCTCCCGCTCCCTTCTCCCTCAGGTGTAGTCAAACTGCATTAGTCTGCGCCGCCCGAGTGAGGGAGAGGAGATGGGAGGGCAACAGTGCAGATGAAGGGCTTAAAGTGACTCCAATGATTACCGGAGTACCTCAGCATGCACCTGCTTCGTAGCAGGCAGCGTGTGTGCTTACACATTATCGCGATCAACCACTGTTGGATTACGGATTATGTACTCGCTGTTTTTGAATCGTTCCACGGTTACGTGTTATTTCCATTCTCAGGACAGAATTGCATTCAGGCGGCTGCCAGACGTTATCTAACGTCCTCCCGTGCAATGCTTCGCTCTATTTCGGAGCAATGCCTTAGACAGCAGTGGCTTTTGGTCTGAACTCGGTATCAGCATGAGTGTACCGCTTTTGGATGTAACACGCAGATAAATGTCAGAGGTGCCCAGACAGGAACACGCATGCACATGCACACGCCTGTAGCTGTGACACGCACGCTCAAACCAGCGTGTGTCTCTCTCTCTCTCTCTCTCTCTCCATTTCACCATCACATTCTTGCTGCCTTATTTTCAAATTACAAAAGAGTCACGTCCTCCTTTTTACGTTCGCTCAACTCAGAAGTACGGCTTTACACAAACTGGGAGTTTTGAGAGGAGTAATTTAATGGCTCCATCGCCACTAACTGCAGGGTACATTTTATCCAAGCGAGCGCTTTGTAGTTTGCTGTTTCTCATCTATTATCCACAGAAGGCTTATCACTTGTATGAGTCATTCTGCTCTTTGCCTCCGACCTTCTGAAAAACTCGACTGAAGAGATTTCAAATCTCCCGAATGCCGTTTTCTTCAAGCGTATGTGTGCAGGATGGAAGAAAGTGTGGGTGAGCACATGAATGACCGTGAAATGAGGCGACGGTGGGTAACTGGCCGCCTGGTGAGGAATGGCTCAGACCCAGTGGTGAATTGTGCCTTTTTTTTTGTCTCGGAGATGGAATGTTGGAGGAAAAAGGCTGATCAGATCAGATTCGTGGCTGGAAATTAGCGCTCTAGAACTTAAAACTATAACACAAGAAATCTGTTCTCCAAAATCCTTTAGTAAAGAGTATAAACTATTTTTCTAGCGAACGTCTCAGCCCGGGTTCCTTGCGTGTGCTGACGGGGACGTGTTGTGTATCCAGTGTTATATAACAACGTAGAGCTTGTTCTCACGTACATGCATTAACAGCACTGATTGCTAATACTTGGAACAAACTAAACATTCTCTTCAAAGTTTTTTCTTA